GGAAAGGAGTAGGGATGGATAAATTAGGACTTTGGGATTTGCAGATAAACACTACTGCATATAAAATAGATAAACAACAAGGCCTTGCTGTATAGCACAGTGAACTATATTCAGTAGCTTATAACAACCTATAGTGAAAAAGCATATGAACAAGTATATATAATAACATACATTATTATAATTATATATTACTGTAATAATAATAAAGGAATATATAATAAATGTATAACTGAATCACTATTCTGTTCACCAGAAACTAACACAGTATTGAAAATAATACTTCAATTTAAAAAAAAAGGTTTGACCCTTTATTATTCTCCCCATTCTTTCATCAGAGCAGGACCAGCTTTTCCTTGGCCCCTGTTTCCCAAGACTGTTACATCAGGAGAATTGGTGTGGGAAACTTATTTGTCATTAACTTATTTGCCCTAAAGGCCCAGGCAGAAGAGACAAGGCACCTAAATGTTACTGACGCAACTACTTTGTCATATATAGCAGTATCTGAATCTAGGTTCCTCAAAGCAGGGCCTCTGACAAGAACTTGGGTGGAGGTAGTCTTTCTGGAAGACGATCCAGGAAACCAGCATTAAAGAATGAGGAACACGAGACGGGGAAGGGAGAAAAGCCCACAAAAGGTGTGTTTGTGGCTGCTTACTGCTGTGGGCAACTGGGGCTCAATCGCTGAAGATCCCCAGAGAACAAGTCTCAAAATTGCCCCATGGAAGGGCAGGGAGGCTGGGGCACTTATCCACCAACTGGGCGCTCCGTTGGCTGGGGTTGCCTCTGGGCTCTGTTCACCCCTACGCTTCCTGGCCACACTTTCTGGGGGGCTGGTGCCCTTCCACTGCTGCAAGAGGAAGCCCTGAAGCAGAAAAGGAGAAATGTGAACATCAAGGTGGAGGGCACAATTGTGAAACTGCCTACCCTGGCACTGCAGAAACCAGCTGGGTCAAAGTCTGCAGTAAGGGAACCCTAAGTGTTAGCCGGAACACTCCTTGCCCTGGTTCCACTCCTTCCCTGCGTCCATTGGACAGCAGTTGGAACACCAAAGTCAGTGTGAGGAGACTTCCTGCCCCCGTGGAATTTACTACCAGAATGAAGGAGAATCTGCGTCACTGCTCTGAACCCCTTCATCCACGGATGGAGAGGTAAAATAGGGAGACTGGAAAGCGATTTCTTTGGAAAGAACTGTTATTTTAATGTTAGTCCCCACCTCATCCTCAATGGATGGACTATGTTGTATCTGACCAGGAGCCAAGTGCAGGGACTTCAGGGAGAGGACGTGAAGAGCTTTGAAACACGTGCCTGCAGGTGTGTGTCCAAGGGGACCAGAGCCTAAGTCAGACCTTGGAGACTTAAAACTGACTGTGGACTGAGCTCAGATTCCCTCGAGGGAACCAGGAGCGTGGTGCTATGCACTACGTCTTGGAATCTGTCAGGGCAAGGAATGGTTTTGGCAGACAACCGAGGACCACCCCAAAGACACAGCCTGTTTGCTGTACAGTGGGGACAGTTGGAGGAGCGAGGGGTAGAGATGAGACATACGGCCAGATGTGCAGGGGCTGAGGAAAGACTTTTAAAGGACCACTAGAATAGAGATGCATCCACTCTGGGACAAGAGTAGGAGAGAGGGAACCAGTAGAAACTCATAAAAACCCACAAAACTGCTCCTCAAAAGAGTCTGTTAACCATCTGCCAGACCTGCAGAGAGCAAAGCCACCCAGCCAGGTAAGAACAATTCCACCACCCACCCTCTCTGCCCACCTTCCTGGAGAGGGGGAACATGAACTGGGGAGGCAAGTTGAAGGGAGCAGTGGGGAGGGGGAAGCTGAGCAGAGAGCAGGACCTTTCCCACCCCCCTATTGAAATCTTCCAGCCTGAAACAGACGCAGGCCAGGGCTGAGGGAGATTGCTTGTTCTATTTAAGTTTGGGATTTTGTGTATTACATGGGACAGAAGTTCTCATTTTATTTCTGAACTGAAAGCAGAAGCCAAGGCCAAAGTTCTTGCTGGCTCAAGGGGAGACCACCACACCGAATAAGATTGAAGAGGTAATAAGAGACAGAAATGGAATTGCAGGGGGGTCGCCCTCCATGAGCCAGAATGAAAAATCAGATTTCTAGAGCACTTGAAAATCACATGCTGAGAAGGGCTGTCTCCACATTGGACCCTGAGGGCTTAGTGAGGATGGGGTGGGGGCAGGAGGAGGGAGTGATGGAAATTACTTCCCGCTGCTCAATAAGCATAATATACTGTTTATGAAGACAGGTTTAATCAATCTGCACATAGTCACCTTTTGTCTGATCAGCATATTCACTGCAGCAGCCATGAAGGTGCCCCTGGATCTCCTTTGGAGAGAGAACTTGTCTTCAGCTGCAAGGGGTGCAGTTAACTGACAGCCTCCAGCTGCAGCCCCTGCAGGAGCCACGCGCTTCCCGGGTAGCCCCAGACAGTGACTGCACACAGCGAGGGTGCAGAGCTCCTCTCCAGAGCTCCCTGCTGAGTTAACGGAGGCTGTCTGCTCAGCATCATGGTCCCCGGCTCTCCTTGCTCAATGCTGCTTCCTTCCCTTCTTATCTTTTACAGGCATTACCGCCCCACATCACGCTCCCTCCCTCACATACATTAGACCTCTTTGACTCCTAACTCCAGCATCTCCTCAGAGATCCTAACTCATATGCTCATCCTTTAAATCTAAATACTCTCCTTGCTTTAATTTTATTTTTTTAATGAGATGACATTAAAAGTTTTCTTACTCAGTCTGAAACCTGATCTGCCTTTTCAAAAACTCCTAACCCCTGAGGCTCGATACTCATACACTGGACATTAAGAAATATCCAAATCATTTTCTTCTTCACTTAGCAGGACCTACTCACCCTTGAGGTCTCAGTTTAAATATCATTTCTCCTTGAAAGTTTTTCCTTGACCTTCCTGACTTCAGCTATCCTAAATCCCTTTGTCAACAGCTTCCCTGATTTCCCCTTTAGCAACTCATCAAACTTGCAGTAACTTTGCCATGGTCAGTTGTTGGCCTCCGATCTCCATGAAGTCATGATCTAAAATTTGTGGTCACTGCTAATGCCGCAGCACTTAGGATGGTGTCTGGGCTGTAGAAGCTGCTCAATAAATATCTGATTAAGTGCAGAATTTGCTCATATAAAAGTGTGGGATATTGACACAGGACCAGAACTAAATGTGTTTGCCTCCATTGTGCTCTTGGTCTTGAGGGCATTGCTCTTGCTTACTGACCACAGCAAGGCTCACAGAAGTGAGTCCTGGAAGAAACGTAAAGATTCTCCCACCTGAGTACCCATCTGATGCCAGAGAAGTTACAGAACATCCAACAATCCAAGATTTTCCAGTCTTAACTTGAATACCAGGGACAGAAACTGCCTCCCAAGACCACTCATTGTGTCCTGGACCACTCTGACCATCAGATTTCCTATAGCTTTGGTCCATATCATATTGTCCTAGAATGATTTAAAGTCTTTTGATAATATTAACAACTTAAGTCGACTCTCTGGTCCAAACTGCTTTTTTCAAGAAGGTCAAATATTTCTCTTCCTCTGAATGGTCTCTTAAATGGGAATGTAACTAACTTGAAATACAAAGAGTTCATTCATACATCCATTCCAAAAATATCAATTGGATATTACATGTGTCTAGCCCGGAGACCACCAACATACAGAGATGTCCCAAAAGATGTGTTCTGCTTGGGGAGACAAAGATGTTGCACAGCCAATGAGGGCTTTTTCATTATGGTTGCACTTTGTATAGTTGTTGAAACATTTATCATTTATATATATGGAAAAAAATCTATTTTTGCAAACTGGTTGCTGCATTGGGGGAAACTGTCTCTGAGATGCCTCATCTTTCTGTACAAAGATTTGCATGTGCTGTGTGCAACTCTCTCTTCAGGGGAATCAGGCCTGTGTTGTATATATGAGTTGCTTTTCAGGGATGAGTATCACTTTTTAAACCACTGTATAGAATGTTTTTATAGCCTGAATGTCTTACTGTGATCGATTAAGTTTCTTAAATAAAGTGTTTGGTTAAACTGAAAAAAACAAAGTGATCAAATGATCACGGCAATGCAGGCACTGCCAGGGGGAGCTGAGGCAGAGGAACTTGAGAGCCAAATGACAGGGCTGGATAGAAGGTGTGCTAAGAGTTTGGGGAAGGTGGTATGTCTGGGGGCTCTGGGAATACACAGGGTAGGGGGTCTAGTAAGGCTTCATTTAGGAAGTGGGATTTCAGCTGAATTAGATGGACAGGAAACATGAGTCAGTGGGTAAATCATCTTGCCAATCAGGCTCAAAGAGAGAACCCTTCCCAACATGGGCAAGGAGGGGCTTAGTGAGATGGAGGAAGTTAGAGGGCTGCTAAATGGGTTGAGAATAATTTCCCTCTCTTTGGGGCTGTCGATCAGTCACTCTGTCTCTAGCAGCATCCTGACAGCTTGTCTCCTTCACAGGCTTCAGGCCACACCTCTGGGGGCACGGGGCTGCCGACATGGGAGCCCTTCCGTGGCTGCTCCTCCTCTTGCTGTTCCAGGAAGGTGAGACAGACTGTCTGCTCCAGGACAGGAGTATCTCTCTCCCTCTCTGTTCTTCTGTCCTGCTGGGACTTTGGGGTTAGGAGGACATTTCCTTCGGGACTGAATGCTTCAGCTCTTCTGGAGTAAGGAGGACTAAGGTGGGGCTTCAGTGCAGGACCAAGGGATGAGGAAACCTGGGGTTAAGGAAGGGGGAGCAGCCCCATGAGAGCAAATGGAGAAGAGAAAATTTGGAAGGTGAGGGCACAGATGGAAGCCAGCCCCTGGGAGGTGCTAGAGTCAGGTGCAGCAAAAAGCTAGAGGCAGAAGAGGCAGCTGGAGGACAGGACTGAGTGTGGGTCATAGAAACTACCCAATTGAGATTGCGATCATAGCCCCATTGCCAGTCTCAGCTGCCCAGAGTCATCAGCTGGGCTGTTTCCAACTTTTCTTTCTGTATCTTCAGCCGAAGGGGACTCTGGAGATGGTGTGGATCCTGAAGAAATGGTTGCTGTCCTTCAGGAGTCTGTCAGCCTTCCCCTGGAAATACCACTGGATGAAGAGGTTGAGGACGTCATCTGGTCTTCCCACATAAGACTTGCCACTGTGGTGCCGGGGAAAGCGGGACAACCAGCTACTATCGTGGTGACCAACCCTCGCTACCAGGGCCGAGTGAGCTTCCCGGAGCCCACCTACTCCCTGCACATCAGCAACCTGAGCTGGGAGGACTCGGGGCCTTACCAGGCTCAAGTTAACCTGCGGACTTCCCAGATTTCCACCATGCAGCATTACAATCTCCGTGTCTACCGTGAGTTTACTGGGAGCCATGAAGCTGCTTTTTCTGGCTCTCCTGAGCTTCCCGTGAAAAGGAGTAGGGGGGTCTCAGGACTCGAAGTCATGGCTTGAGGGTCTGGGACTGGAAGGCAGACTGTCTGCAGTGTGCCTGGCCCCAGTATCTGAGCTGCAGCCATAGGTAAAGTGAGCCGGAGGCCCTGGGCCAGGAGGCTATTCTGTGGACATGCCCAGCGCAGTGAGAGGGGTCAGGGACTTCGTCTGGGGAGCCTTGTTCTCCTAGTGAGAATTTTGCAGCCTGGGCATGAGCGCCACTTCCATTCTCGAGGCTTTTACCCTCCTTGTGGTGTAAGGGCTACCGATCAGTGTCTCCTCTTTACTTGAACCCAAATTTCTTCTTAGTGCCTGTGACGTTGACTGATTTTCTACCTTGAACCTTGCAGAGACACTGATTAAACTATAAATGCCCCTGGGAGGGGTGATAATATTTTCTAGGATCAAAGAGGCAGGACAGGGTTTGGATCACAGGTTAGAGAGAGAAGGTGAGGCATCAAGGGGAGGTAGAAGACCCCCACTCAGCTCGGTCCACCTGTGCAGCTGCCCTGGGGACGTGGAGCCACAGCTTTGACGGTGGCAGTTTCCGTTAGTTTGGCTTGTTGGCCTTTTAGGTGAAGGGGAGCTCTGTGAGGGGCATTCAAAGCCCTGTGTTGAGGAGCTTAGGAAAGCAGACCCAACCCCCACTTACTTAGAGGGTCTTTGTGTTCCTCCTTCATCTAGGACGGCTGTCACAGCCTCACATGACTGTGAACTTTGAGATCCCTGGGGAAGAAGGTTCCTGTAATATATCCTTGACATGCTCTATAGAGAAGGCAGGCCTGGACGTGACCTACAGCTGGATACCCTGGGAGGACGGCACTGACACAGCCCATGAAGGCTCCATCCTCAGCACATCCTGGAGGCCCGGGGACAAAGCTCTGTCTTACACCTGCAGGGCGAGCAACCCCGTCAGCACCGTCAGTTCCCGTCCCATCCCTGCTGGGCCCTTCTGTGCAGGTACCAGGGCCCCAGGCCCAGAGATAGGCCCTTAGTGACTGCAGGACCTCAAGGCCACCTCCTCCCTCCCTCCCTTCTCCCCTAAGACAGTACATGGAGCCTAGAACCTAACCCTTTCCGTGGAGACTTGACCTCGGATTGCAGAGCAGCCCCCCTCTCCCTGGTGCTCCTTCCCAGGGTCCCCTGCTTCCAAAGGTCCCTTCTAGTATCTCCCTCAGCCTGAGACTGCTCCCCACATCTCAACTCCCAAGCTTCTGTGAATAGAATATACATTTCCTGAGCTACTTGCCAAGGGACACCAATCGACTGTGAACTTGAGACCCCGTCTGTGGGATTTGGGGTGAATGTCTGCCACCTAATCCCGACCTCAGCCCTCCCTCTGGTGAACCCTTCTCTCTTTGCCTTCTTCTGTCCCAGATCCCGGCTACCCTTCAGAGAAGGCCTCCACGCCCCTCTGTCTCCTGGCCAAGGCACTGCTCCTCCTCTTGCTTTTTGTAGCTCTGGCCGTGGGGCTCTGGCGCATCCGAGTCCAGACAAGATGCAAAATGCCGAGGATGAAGAAACTCAGGAGGAACAGAATGAGGCTGAGAAAGAAGGGCAAGCCTGCCCCCAGCCTGGCCTGATGGCCCCTTGGGGACCCCTGTCCTGAGCGTTGTTTCTTCCCGGCCCCCAGGGAGCCCTTCCTCTCTTCCCTGGGCTCTTCTCCTCCCGAGGGGCTCAGGGGTGGGTGTCTGAAGGCCATGCTCCCTGAAGGAAGATTGTCTGGCAATAAAGTCAGATTCAGTGATCCCAGTCTGGAGGAGCTATTTGGTCCTTTGCGGGGTGACTCGGGCAAAACTTTCCATCCTAGGTGCCCTCCTCCAAGCCCATAAGCTTCTCGCCCCTGCGTTTGGGGAGGAAAGTGAGTCTAAGACACCCAGAGGCAGTGAGGTATTGGTCTGTTATTATTCACGCCTATCCCTTTCCCACCAACACACATAACATCTACACTTTAAATTAGAAACGTGAGCGATTCCTTTTAACTCAACTGAAGCCGGGGCTGCTGAATGGGAGAGTCGCAGGCACTGAGGACCCTACACCACAGCGTGTCCTTCCAGGGGATTCTTCTGCTCTCCTACGCCTCCCTCCACCCGGCACATGAGTTCACTTAACGACTCCCACCCACCCCACCCCCGTCTGGCGGCTGTCCTGCCCAGGGAGACTTGAAGCAGCCCTGTGCAGCCCTATTCTGGGTCTGAGTCAAACCCACTGACCTTCATTCATCTCCGTGATGCCAGCTGCTCTAGGCCTCTGGTTCTACCCAAGACAGATGGCAGCTCGGCCGGATCGGTAGCAGAGGTCAGGACCCTAAGACCTCTGTTTGCACGTTTTATTACTGTCCCGTCTGTTCCTTCTCCGTAGATTTCCCTGTTTCAGACCTTCTCTCTGGACTCCTGTCCTGGGTTAACGCCCACCTCTTACACACGCACACGCCCCTCCCAGCCGCCCCCAGCAAAGGCCTTTATGGTTTTGTTCTTGCCCTTCCCCAGTCCAGCGGTCAGTCTGAGTTCCTCGCCCAGGCTTGATGTGCCGCTGCTGAAGTCTTGGTTCTCCTCCCCACATCCGATCCTGTGGGTCTTACTTAATGGTGGGAAGCTGGCGCAGGGGATGAGGGAGCATGGGGGAGGGAACTGAAAGCCACCCAAGCCACAGGACGTGACTAGGGAGTGAGTGACCTGGAGGAGGTGGTGCAGGATGTGGTGCGGAGAGCACTGGGTGTGCTCTCAGAAGACCTGGGCTGTGCTCGGCCACCTACCTCTGGCGAGGGACCCTTTGTTCAGCAGACACCCACTGAGGCACCAGGAATGCATGCTTTGAAGGTGAAGCAGGCAAAGGTGCAGCTGATGGGTGCTCTTCCAGACTCAGGGCCAAGTGAGTGCCCGAGCCCCCGCAGGGTTGGAAGGGGCTGGTAACCTGGTTGGGAGGCAGTCAGAAAAGGGTCTAGGGGGTAGGGACAGGGCTGTGTGGCAGAAGCCATGCTGGACATCTCTCTGCATCTCGCTTTTCCCTCTCAGTGAGGAGAAGGATGTTGCCCTCAACAGTGTCTCCCAAGGAAAGGAACACCAAGGTTGTGATGGGACAGTGGGACCCACGGGGGAACCATGAAGACCGAGGATGGCTTTTGGGGAAACAGGGCACATGGGCCAGGCACTAGGACACCCCAGGAGGAGGGTTCCAAGAATATCAAAAGGCATGGCTGGAAGCCAAGAGGCAGGGTCTCCAGGACTGGAAAGGAAGCAGGTCCAGAGGTAAGTAGGGCTTCCTGTCTATGTTTTTGTGCGGGAGATGGAGCCCCATGGGGCTTGGGAAGGAGGTGGCGAGGATGGGAAAGCAGTCCCCAAAGAGCTCTTTAGACTGGCAACCGATCCACTCTACTCCCTGAGGGCCTGAGTCCCTTGTCCCCCCCAGAATGCTGTCACTGGACCAGCGTGAGACCGGTTCCCTGTGCCTACCTTTGGCCTAAGCAGTCCCACCTCCAAAAAGGCCTGCAGTTCAAGGACCCAGCCTGCTGCCCCCGAGTCCTCTGACTCCTTTAATACCTTTCTGGAGGCTAAATGGGAAAGGCCCCTGGAGCCCATCTTGCACACAAGGGGCCAGGTCTTCTCTCGTGTGTTTCAGAGTCTGACACAGGAAGTAAATGAGGGAATGAGCGGTCCCTGGACTGCTGGCCCAGGGCCCTCTCTGGAATTTGGCAAAATCCCTTCTTCTCACACTCAGTTTCTGAACAGACAAAGGCTGAGGTCCCCAACCAGCCCAGAGCATCTGAAAGAGGAAGGCTGAGACACTCAAGAAGGTGGAATATAAACTCAGAGACACCCAGGCTCCTTCCCGTGCAGGAAGCCGGGATAATAGTCACCTGGTGGCACTTCGCCTTTTGCAAAGTTTGCTCTTTTGAACTAGGTGAAAAGCAAACTGTGGGAAGGAGGGTAATATAAGTGTCAGGCACTGGGCTAGCATGGGAGAAGCGAAAAGACACTGCCCTCGAGGAACTCTTGGTGGGGTGTGTAACGATATGGGTGTGGTGTGACATGGGCTATGGGTGAAGGTGAGGGTGTGGTGGGAGGAGTCAGGGATGGTGTCCTGGAGGAAAGAGGTAAACAGCATTTTGACCTGTGATTAGCGGTGAGTTCAGGGAAGGGAGAGAAAGAACATTCTAGTTAGACAGAAGATAAGTGGGAAGCCATTGATATGTGATCAGGCACAGTGAATTCTAGGGATTACAAGGCCACACACTGTCACCGTGTGATAAAGGAGTCAGTGAGAAATGAGTCTGGAGAGGTAGGCCAGGCCCCTCTGATAGACCATGGGCTGCAGGGGAATTCAAGGGTGAACAAGACCGGCTTCATGCATTCATGGAATTAGAGTCTCACTGGGACAGAAGACAGGCACACCGACCGCTAATGGACAATAAATGAGGAATTTTATTTCTTTTCTGATCAGGTGATAGGACCAGTGCTCACAGCACGTGGCCAGCAAAGTTCCTGGAATTGACAACATTGTCTGATCTTCTGGTCAACAAGTTGAAAATATGTAGGCTGGCTGATGCTTTGGTGAGGTAGAACCTTAGCTGGCTGAAGAAAATTTCCCAGAGAGTAATAATGGTGGTGGAGTGAGGACAACCCAGAGAGAAATCTTTAGTTTTGAGCCTCAGGGACTATTTTTATCAACTCTCACTTCTGGCATGGTGAGGGAACAAGTTACAGGGCTAGGTTCCTTTTCTTACCAAGAAGCCAACAAGATACATCTAAATCAAAGCAAATGACAGTAATAAAAAACATTTTAAAAAATGACCATATCATAAACTTCAAAAAGTGGAAAATCATTTTAAATCCCAATTTTATAAAAAAGTTATTTTATGTCCAAACGAGATTAACTTATCCTAAAGAAGACGTTGGAGACGCAGAAATGAAACCTTTGAACCAGAGATGTAGCCGATTCTAACACGGTGTGGGGGGAGGGAGATCTTTCCCACTGGTCAGTGAGGGGCCAAGAAGTAAAAAAGACTTCATTCTTTGACCATCTTTCCTAGACATTCTGCCTGGCCTTGCTTCCATGCTGTGTCCACTAACATGCTTTCATTAAAGTCTTAGCACTGTTAGGTCAGTCTGCTACATTGCAGTCATGCTGAAGGCTGCCACTTTGGGAGAATTTGCTGGGGGGAGTGTGGCAGAGTCTACACCACTGCTCCTGCCTCCTTCCCAGCTACCCCCACTCCCATTTTTATCTCAGGTCTTGGCATAAAAGCACCCAGACATTTACTCCTGGAAGAACTCTCCAGCAGTCAAAGTCCCTGAAGATGGAATGCGTTACTACAGGGAGATGGTGAGCTTCCTGGCCCAGGGTGTGGCCAAATGGGGCTGGGTGACCACCTGGAGGGAAGATGTGGCAGGCATGCTGGTGTGAGCTATGGTTAGACCCATTCCGCAGGGTTCCACAGGGTCTCTCCCAGTGTTGAGTGAGGCCATGATTGGGAATCAGACGCCGGGTGCACTCTTTGAGTGGCAGGAGTTCAGACTGGGGTGAGATCAGTGTGCTGTTTTCAGGAACGTCTTCCAGGGGAGCACTGGGTAGACTTAAGACCGCCCAAGCCTCCTGGGGAAGGGCTGATGACCCTGCTTCCCCAAGTCAGCACCGAGTTGAGGAAGCAGAAAGCTCTGCAGGGCAGACATACCAGATGTCTTTTGCCTGAGGTTGAAGTCTCTAAGAGGGTGGGTGTGAAGGATTCCCAGCTGGGTCAGGTTCCTTCTCTGCTATGTCCTAGACGGGAAGTCTTGGAAAGGTTACCTCCCCTCCTGGAGGCGCCGTTTTTTCTTTAGTCAAACGGAGTTACACCTACTTTACAGCGTCTCTGTACAGGTTACATAAGACTCGTAAAGCGTGTGGTCCAGGATCCAGCACCCTACCCTGTAGGTGTTCAGTAAACGACAGTTTAATTCATTCCTCCTCTCTCGGTCTCCCGCGCCTGGATGTCTCTCTCACTTCTCCCCTCTAGGCTCTCTTCTCTGCGCGGTTTTGCTGGGCGCTGCGGCGGGAGCTGACTTGGCAACCTGAGGCTAGGAGCGCAGCCGGCTCCTCTGCACACAGGGGGAGGCGCCTGGGCAAGGTCTGGGAGCTCGCCAGTGCAGACAGGTATTTCCAGTCCGGCCAGAGAAGAAATGTGCGGAGGTGGGGATGGGGATAGGGATGGGGGAGGAGATCAGAGGAGCGGGGTGGATCCCCTGGGAAGAGGGCGGGGAGTCCTGCTCCCCGCTTGGTGCTCCTGCCGGCAGGCTCAGATTTCAACCCTAGCTGCCGCATCTGCGGTTAAGCCCGTTAGGGGAGAGGAGAGGCCCCAAGGTAGTTTACACGGGAAGGAGGGTGTGCAGGGCCAACTCCTGCGACCCCTGGAGCACGGGCCCTGACGGGCTTAGCTCCTCAAACTGGAAGCGGGAAGCGCCGCACCGGCCTTTCCACGCTTCGTTGTATCGAGCTCCAGCAGGGGGCGACCCAAGCCCACGTGCCACCGAGTCCTGCTCTCTCGAAACTACAACTCCCAGGCCGCTCGGGGGTCGCGCCCGCCTCGACTCGCCTTCTGCTCGCTCCAATTGGCCGCCGCGGGAGGGGGATTGGCGGTCTCCAGGGCGACGGGAGGCGCTCGGGGCATCCGAGGCGGGGAGGCGGGTCCGCCCCCTATTGTGTAGCTGGAAGAGTGGAGCCGAGCGGTGCGGAGCAGGTGAGGGCGGGGGCGTGCTGGGGGCAATGGAA